CGGGTGGTGAAACATATTCCGAATTGGGTGCAAAATCAGCTGACCCAATTGAGGTCAAGTCCGCGGCAGAGAAACGACTGTCGAAACTCCCAGGCCCCGTCCTCAGCAATTGCTCGACATCTCCCGATGACGCAACACGAAGTCGACCGAGGCACAGCGTTTCGAATTGTCTACAAGTCGCAAGATTGCTAAGGTTTGCCGAAGCGGTTGCGATTACTCGATGGAAGCCCCCTCTGTGCCAGCACAAAGAACGTTATGTTAAACTGTCCCTACCCTGGTAATATTGGTCCTTTTACCCCTCCCTCTTATGTTTTGTCTGTTTTTAATGTATTTTGCTTTACTTTGTTGCCATGCTACATCCCTACATAAACACTGTATTTTCTGCAGTATGCACCACGTTGAGATACAGCGAAATCGTCCTGGACATAAATCGTGCAGTATTGCCATATGGTCTTTTCTTTTGAAAATAAGTAGAAACGATCATTTTGGTGTCAATTGTCAACATGTTTAGAAGCTCTAACCAGTTTATTGGTTGAATGTACTAGAAGAAACCTTATTACAATTTATTTGCGAGTCACTGTTTCGCTATTGTTTATCCGTGGCGTCGAATTTTCATATTTTCATATAATCAGTCACTGTTTAATAAAATAGATCTTCAAAAATCATAAGGAGATAACTAATTAACTGCTAATTCACTGTCGTTTATCGAATGATATCTGATGTAGATCTAGCAACATTTTGATTGGCCAAAATATTGTATCAACATGAATGCACCCACGATGTCTGGTGTTATCATCATCATCTTCATCGCAACCTCTCTGCAGAAAATCTGCTTGAAATGCAATCTCAACGCCGCTCACCTGGTTTCTTCATCCTCTTCGTCTGCTTTGTAGACAACTTGTCCTGTACTCAAATTCTTTCCTCCCAGATTCTCAAGCCAAGAGACCGATTGAACGATATCCTCCAAGGGAACATCATTGGTTACCACCATGTTGACAATCTTTTCCAAGCTGTCAAGACCGACTGTTTGATGCGCTGAAAAAGCAAATCTTGTAGCATCACCCTGCCTCAACTGTTCCACTTGCGCTGCAGATTGTAAAATCAATAAGGGCGGATTCGATGCTGACACTTGTGGAGTTTCCATACTAGAGGCCATTGCATGCTCTGTGGAGGTGTTTGCGAAATTGGTCGAACAAAAACACCATATTCTGTAGGCGAAAATCACTACTTAACCATTTCTATTATAATTCCATAGAGATGAAGAGTATTTCTAGCGTATTCATCCTAAACTGAAGTTAGCATACAATTATTCTCACTCGGATTCTTAATACAAGGCTATCCTGGTACTGGAAACCGACATGCGATGAAAGATACGAATCTATGGAACCCAAAATGAAATGCAACTCGGTTGAAATCTGTAACTACTCTTCGGGAGCCATAATTCTCATACTCTGACCGTGATGTATTGCACAACTAACAGTTGAAATCATAGGCTGGTGCTGACAGTCGACACAGTTAAACGAAGGAAACTTATTTCCATTTTTTGTTGAATTTCTTGCAGCACCAGAATTTGACTCATCGATCGCCGCCTTAAAACAAAATAGACCAAATCCGAAATAAAAAAAGTTACACTTCACAAGATAATACAACAATCTGATCAGCTAATCTAAAAGTGGAAAGATGACCAGCATGCTTGACAAGAAATCTGCTATTCAACATTCTCTGGGCCAGCTGATATCAGAGTATCCTATCGCTAAGTGATTCAAATTACCGAATCGACTTGAGGTCACCGCCGAAAATAGTTTTTTTTGTTTCGAAAACTGAAAGCAAAAATCGATCGTGGTTCCATCCAGTGAGCAGTGTGAAAATGGCTGAACAACCTTCCCCCGGAAGCAACTTCATTTTTAGGGGCTATATATCAGACATGCCCATTCGATAGTCTTTTGTGCTTCACATATTTCCTCCAAATTTGGTTCCTATTCGAATATTTTTAATATCTCGCTGTAGGTATGTACCTGGATAACACTTTTAGCAGATAGTAACTTTTTTGTAAATAAGCTATATATGGAGAAAATTCTCATCCGGACTACGAGAATATGAAGGAACTGACTATTGTGCGGTCTCAATCGGTGAACTTTGAGGGGAACGTTTTTTAGTTATTCACATACCTTATATTGTACTGGATTATTTTAGTGACATTCAAGTCTATTTTTCAGTACTATTTGATCTATATATAAAACGGAGACTCATAAGAATGATTCGAATTTGAACAATCCGTCCGTCTGAGAATGTGCTTCCAGAAAGGTCAGTAAAAATGCTTACATTTTTTTTATAGAAGCAGCAATTTTTCAACATTTTTAAATGTTTTGTAAAACTAAATCAAACGGCAATCTTATATCGCCAATTTCCAAATTTTATTTAGTATCTTAGACCATTGTAGATAAATATGCGCACTTTGCAATGCTTAACTTAATTAATCGATTGACAGAGTGCCATCTGTGATTTTATCAGGTAAAAACGTAGAAGCAAGTTTTGAATCCCCACAATGTTTAACATTAATAAAGAAGCAGGTTTTTTATATTCGAATATGGATACATGCTCTTATTCAGATTAACTTATTTATTTGTTTTAACTAAAGGCCAATAGCTATAGATTATTCACCGAACAAGAGAAAAATAACGAAAACTGAATTTGATGTTAAAAAGCAATGCGCAACAAATCACACCATACCGTGGATCTGATCATCTCTCGCACAGAATGTCGATGAAAAAACACTGTAGTTTTAAGTCACTATATAGTTGACATTATATATATATATTTATGTGTGAAAGGTTTTGTAAGAAACGGATGGTGGGGGGAGGTAGATAACAATATGAAGTGACCTCGTAGTTGTTGCTGGGAGGATGGGTTCACCCCCAAAATCGCATCGGCGCATTCACTGTTTGTGTCATTTGTGCTCGAGTCTGTTAGAGAATGTGACCAAGCTTATTTTGGGCTTTATAGTAGAATAGCAACGACATAGAACATATAATGTGTTCAAGCGTATTCGGTCTCGGTGTGCTGAGTGCAACTGTGTGCATAACAGAAAACAGTAGGCGTTGCCTTGACCGTTTGTGAAAACCAGGACGTAACATGACTTGTCACTTGATCCACGTGGGGAAAGGTCACATCAACTAACACGCTAAACATTCCTATACCCACACACGCGCACGCATGCACTCTGATTACTCTCTGCCTCCGAAAATTGACCTTACATTGAGCCAATTGCTATCATTATGTAAGAATTTTTCCACTATATGATATGTAACAGCATGACTAGGGATATCCGAAAACAATTGTTCGCTCACCGACTCATTTTCTTAATATTTATGTCTATCTATCTTTTGATCTGAAGTGGTCATTCTTCAAACTTCTACTTCACGCACAAACCTCAGTTCTTCTAGTCAACTATACACTCGGAAGCACAATACTCGAGTTTCGCTCTTATTAGAGCTCATCAGTATTGGATATCGATCGTCCCGTCTCAGTTTTGAGCTCCGCACCCAAAGCATGGGAGGCACTTTGGTTCAGCTCTGGTATGAGCTGGTTGGTGCAGTGGTAGCACCCGCCGGTAAGAATACTCCGTATCTTGCGGTAGGATAGACATCCAAAGGTGGGGAATAGTAGTTGCATAAAAAGACATTCGTTGAAAACTGTCGATTTCTTTTAAAGATTACCCATCTTACTCACGTGCTATACTTCGGTAAAACTCTCAGTTTTCTACTTTCTTCGTCAACTCATGTGTTCACAATTCAACGCAATAGGTGATCGAAAGACAAGATTCAAGATCAGCATCAATACACACACAATTAACCGTGACTGTTGTTTTATTTTTTCAAGCCAATTGGCTAACAATTATATCATTTCTGTAGTTTTAATTTTGAGCGGAGAATTTTAAATTTCTTTCCCAATGGAAATTGGTCAACTGCCCAATTTGGTGCCAAGCAATGCCACTCACAGTAGACAAAGATGGTGAATATTTTGGGTTTTTGATAATCAAGCGAGCAAGCTCAATTTTTTCTGTCTTCAGCTCTTTGATAGTAGTGTATCACTGAATCTAACTGCCGTTACATATGGTTAGAGCATAAATGCGACAAGGAGCAAGAGGTCCGTAATTTGGACATAATTATCATTATTACTAAAAATTACCTGATATTTACCTATGTAACTTTGTTGAAGGCACATATCTTCCTGATACTTCGGAAAATAAACCTTGAATCACAATTTACCCGGACGCTACTACTGTACCAAGGGCACTGTTATCATACTAAATAAGTCTATTCGTTTTTACTGTAGATTGAGGTTGATTAAATCTATGTTGTAATTTCTCTATCTCACAACAGTGAAAATCTTCCTGAAACAGATACATGAAATCACACAAACTTATCTCAGTTCACTTGTTTACCGCATAACACCCAGTTGTTCGTATGAATGCGGCGTATTCAGCCAAAGCTCACGTGATTCATTCGCGACTGTGAGATGCAACTCGATCAATAGACACGAGTGGGCCTGATGGCATCTATCACTGTGGCAGTTTCGTGAATTCCGTGATTATTACATGCATTTGATAGTGCTCACGATATAGCGTGCACATGCATCTTATAAGCATACGCGTGAGTAGCTGCCTGGATTGTTATTGTATCAGCTCTGCTAGGTCATTTGATTTTCAGCCTTGAAAGGGCAACCCAACAAAGTGGAACCAGATAAATGATGACGAGTTTTCTGTTGGCTTTGGAGCTTGTATATTGAATATAGATGAGACAGAATTGGTAAACATAGTGTGAGTGGTGATAACCTCTCTAATCAAGCGGAGAAAATATCGGTCCCTGTTTCAGAACAACGGATATTTATCCGATGGTTCTATCCTCCTCGGAATTACGAGTCACTTCTTTTCTTCGTACCGCTAGCCATGCATTCAGTGACGAAGTGGCCAGCTACTATTTGGGTTTGGTCAGACCATCCCAATTGGTAATTGTGAAGACAATATCTCTTGGAGCTTTCCACTCTAATCCGGAATTAGGTCGACAGTTACACAAACGATTTGCGCAAAAAGTTACACGTGAGACGAAAAAATTTCTAAAACTATCTGATGCCACAATTGTGGCGGTGCAACAGGATTTGTTAGTGTTGAACCAAGGTCTGGTTGCGTTGGACTTTCAACCGTCTGGAAATTTGCTTCAGTGGATCGGGACAAGAGTCTATCTGAATATACACTCCGTGTGTATGGCAATACAACGAGTGTTCAAAGGACTGGCCTACATACATCGAATGGGATTGGCACACGGGAATATGAAAATGTCAAACATTCTGTTTCGAACTTTCCATCCCGAATCCGCATGCATTGTGATGGATTCCAGTGTGAAGTCTGAGATGCTCAAACTCTGTGCACCGATTCCGTTGATAGTGCAATATTGTCCACCGGAATTACAGCCCGCCATGATTCGACTCCAACAGGAGTGGCCCGCTGTGTCCTCGGGAATCCGAAATGAGCAACAACTGGCGGAAGTCGATCAGATATTGCTTGGAACTCCAGAACGAGATGTGTGGTGTGTCGGTGTCATACTGTACATTTTGCTAGCCGGATGTGACCCGTTCGCGGAAGATCAAATGGAGGAACGATTTCATTCGTTCCAATATCCCGACCGAAAGTGTACACATCCATTTTTTTCCACTATCAGTAAGCCATTGGTTGCTCAGATTGANACGATTTCTACACTCCGATCCGGCACAGCGTGCCACGGCCGAAGAAGGTGCTTCATGGTTATGGTTCTCCGATGAACAAACATCGATCGATACTCGGAATATATTATATCGAAACGAAGAAATGTTCTTTGGTTTATTATTCCGTATGAACTATACACACCTCTTTCGATGTGGACCCATAGCCGAGATGTTCCATCGCAGTGCAAAATATTACAGTGGACGTTGATTGTCCATGAATTATTCTCCTGTTTGACTAATAGTGAAGTCAATTCAAGTCACCGGTAATCGAACAAGTACAGTCAATGTATGGGTCCCGCCACCAATCATGTTTCTCAATTGGAGCATATTTACTGATCGAAAACAAAATTGTTGTCCAAATAGCAATCCTATTCTTACAGACAAATGGACCTATGTATACATGCCGGCTACGGATTTCAATTGATTTCGCTCAAGTTTGAACGTCGTTGGCTACGGTCATTTCGATTTTCACCGATTCAATTGCTTTTTGCAAGCACAAATTGTAACAGGAAATTCGCACTCAGATATTCTGTATAAACCATGCATATCTCAGCTGGGTTTCGGGAAGTATGCAACAATAATAAACCACTTTGGTTGAGCTGATTAGTCCAATCAGTCGGCTATGGTGACTGGGTGCTGCTAGATTCTGTATGTATCTCATTTGTGCATGTGAGCTTGCAAGAAACGGTGCACTCCGGGAGCATACACGTCTGGCATTTTTGCAAAAGCATATAAAGGTAAGAAAGAGTAGCAATTATATCAACTCACCTAAAGGACATGGACATGTCATGGACAATAAATATGTTAGGTTAAAGCAAGGAGAATTAACAGGTTAGTTTCAATGAAGTAGGAGACAATGTGTAGACCGCAACGTGACAGTGCTCTCGGTTTTGAACTGCAGGTTTCAGTAGCTATTAAGAGACGTTTTACATTTTGTTAGATGATTTTTCCCCGAATAAAAACACACTTTTTTCTCTTTCTACCTAAACAAAACTGACGGATCCTGGAACAGACACAAACATATGCAAGACTAATTGTTGTGACTGTGTGAACAACTGAAGGTTTCATTCAAGTATTATGAAAGTGGTTTCGGTGGTTAGTTAACCAAAGCCATTTGTTTTGCCCACGTTCCACTAGTGATGCGTAATTGGGATGTTCCATTTTCCTTCCACCATGAAAACCCACAAGTGGAATCTTCCGACCGAATGGCCGGTTAAGAGTACTGAACAAGGGTTTTGGGAGGCAGTGTCGGCTTGAGCAAGAGTAATGAGGTTCCCATAAGTTTATTTACAGTGTGGGACAATGAACATAGCTTGGTATTCAAAATGGTACTGGTCCCAATTGTAGTCTTACATCTATGAATGTGAATGAATACCTGCAATCTCCAAAATAATTGAGATTTTCTCCTCGTCGGTCACTGTGTTGGAATGGGTGAAACAAATCAGGAGATTATTCCTGAGCAGTTTGTACCTGACAGAGTTTTAGCTGCTCTCATTTGTCCGAATATTTGCCAGTGTCATTCATTGTAAGGAACGCGCGAAGTAGCAAAGAAGAGAGTTTCCGTGATTTTACACTAGCTAGGACATCCCAATTTACATCAGGATTCAATGTCGGATGATAACTATACACTAGCTTGAGAAGAAGTCATTTTTCATTTTCACGACCAAGTGTTGCTGGTGCTGATTATCGCCCGTATGTGTTTAGTTCAGGTTACAAGGAGAACCGAGACCGTCGAATACGGCGTGGTCATGTAAGTCCGGATGTTCATTCCAACTGTTATTGGGAGTAAGTGGAGGTCATTCAAGTGATTCTCGATCGCTTCTACTGCAAACACAATGTAAATTTGATACGTTTGGTCCATAATTATTCCTTGTTTAACAGAACATTGGATCACAAACGGCGAGTTACTAGTTAGTGAATGGATAAATCACAAAAACCAAGCGTGCTGGCCAATTCGTAATTCTCTAAAAATCCTATCTATCTATCTATCTATCTATCTATCTATCTATCTATCTATCTATCTATCCATCCATCCATCCATCTATTTATCTATCCATCCATCCATCTATCTATCTATCTATATTAAAATAATCATTAAACTGGATTTTTTCAATAATTAGGAAAATAGAACACATTGGAAGGCCATACATTGTCGTACTGATTCGAAGTAAACAACCGCATTTTCAGCGTAGAACATTATCAGTGAAAATCAGTTTGATTGAATTAATACCTTTAAAACATCATTTATATAAAACCAAAATTAATAGTTAGATTTGCGGTGCGAAAATTTATTTCCATTATTTTGCAATTATCTCCTCATCGATCCTACAAACAGTAAAATGTCTGGCTCGTTGTCATGGCAAAATGTCCGTCCTCAGAGATTGGAAGGTGACTCAAATTTTGTGGAACTCGCGTGGCTTTGTGTGAGTTTATCCCGATGTGAGAAAGTTAATTACAGTAAGAGTTTTATTGCATGGTACTTAGGTGATATAATCTTGCTCTCATAACGAACCAAACCAAAATGACAGTCTAGAAAACGTCTTGCGAAGCCCGCTGAATGCGGTCAGAAATTACCGAAAAGTTAAAGTAAGCCCTGCGAGGTGCCACAAGGAAAGGACTGATGCGGACTGCCTCGAATCAAATCAGGAGTGCCGCCATGTTGAAACTAAATTTATTTCCAAAGTCTGCAACATCTATATGAAGATGCTCCGGATGAATAGTATACCAAAAGATGGCGTGAGACATGCAGTACGGTTGACTGAAAGTTGTGTCAAAGGATGTAGTACTTGGGGACCAACAACGCAGAATGAGGAATGGACTAGAATAACATTTGGAGGCGAATGAATTTCAGTTTAAATGAACCGCACCGTCAAGAAGAAATTCAGGATTTCCTAGTACTTCCAATTTTTGTGATCTTTTCCTGGTGCTTCCGGTTACAATTTCTCTCCGAAAGAAAGTCTTCGTTGACAGTCCTTCCGGGAACTCCTAGGTTAAAGCGTCTTGTTGCTTTCAACTGTCGAGTTTACTCGGAGAAAACATTTCACCTACACGACGAGGCTTTGATTCACATTTTGCAAAATTTGGATTGTTGTTCCGAATGTATGTGCTGGAAATATCGAATTTTTGTCCGCCATTGATGAATTTGATAACTCAATGAGAAACGTTTGAAACTACTCAGTACAAGTACAGAAACACATCGCCTCAGATCATTGGGTATTGTTTCAAGCAGAACGCAAAGTTTTGGCAAATATGTGCATTACAAGATAAAGCGGCAAACAAACTCGTTTTCGGTTCTTCCTTAACAACTCGCTAACTTGGATCACCGTGTGAATCAAATTAAAAATCACCTTACCTTTCATCATGATCTGTTCGCATAAGCTGAAATTTGTCGTTTCTTTCCAAAACGAAAACAGGCAGTGTTCACACCTTATCTTTCAGTGAACAGTTATCCACACACCCGCTTTCTCTGTGTTGCTTTCACTCAGACTGTTGAAACCTGGACAGGTCACTATTCAATACCTCATTGCTTTGAGTGGCGCTTTTTACCTGGGCTGTTACCTTAGGAAAAAGGGTATTCAGATCATTTAGTTAAACAACGCTTATCTGCGAGCATCAGGTCAAACTAAACCACCATTTCAGTTTTGGGCGCGGTAGCATCAACAGGTGAGACAGAGCTGTGGTTCGGTAATTCGGTTTTTTAAATCTTCGCGGACTAAGATTCAATAAGATGGTGTGCAGTGTGTCGGTCAGCATAGCCAACTACAGACAGGCGTCACACCGTAATAATAATGCTAAAGAACTGTAACTTAAATAAAAGTTATCGATGTCCGTGTCCAATGGCCCTAGCTATCGCTTCATATAGTATTGCTGTAGCTTGAAATCGATGCACTAAAATGCTTGCAGTGTAAAGTGTTTCCGGAGAAAATAGTTACACATGAACTCACGAGAATGTTCTTCGTTCAGTTGCGTTATAACTTTGGGCAACTGCCTCTCAAACGCATTCAGCAATCTGCATAACAGATCTTTACCCAATCGATGCAATGCGTTGTTGAGTGCTCTGAAGTATGATAGAAATAAAATAATCTTTTAATTTTGGCTTTCTCGTCTGGTAGGACATTTGAATTCAGATATTTTCTCGCCCGTTCAATCTATTCTCCAGGGTTTGAAGAGAAAACTGGAAGACACTGGTCAATTTGTGTTCCAAATGCTGCTAAGCAATTGATCTAATGTTTATTGGTATATGGTCCACTTCCCTTAAATCCAAGGTGTTATTTTGCAACTACACAATAAAAATTAGGAATTGTTGTAGTTATTATTTTACCACGAAAGGGGTGATCCAATCCAATCCGTGAATAAAAAATGCTCATTCCTAATACTAATCATTTATCTAGGTGCATATCCAGTAACATATCACAGGTATCTTCAAGATATACTCGTTTTTTGGCACAAAGTTGGTGGGTAGAATATGTCTCATCTGCTGGGATCAAGCCAAATAGCATTTGAGTTCCCATGCTTTGGTATGTACAGTAGGACAGTTACTGTATTGAGAATGTCACCTGCATTGGTGATG